TATACATCTTTTAGTGTGGAATCAAGCTCTGGCATAATTTAATACACATCAATGAAGAGGCCAATGAGTAGAAATTCTGTAACTCATAGAATTTATTTCCCCATTGATCAACTCCAAGGTCAAGTCTCTCTCACACGTACACTGTAGACTAGAGAATTCTTTGGCTTAAAGTCCAAGAAGAATGAGGACAGATTTCATGTGTTTTTGTTCATTTCCCCTTTGCAATATGGCTAAAGAAGAAAGCATACTCTGAGGTTTACTGATGCCTTGATGACAATAAAAAATAATGTATCCCCAGCTATCAAAAGAAAGAGTATTAAGTATTCTAGATTACATATTTTGCAAGCAAAACTACCATACCTTGGGCCTTTTGTGGTGGTGATTTGCATTCCTTTTCATAGATGCATTTGTTCTTGTATGCTCTAGGGCAATGCTACTTGAATTATTTCTCATGAATATGTATGTGTGTATGTATGTATACAAATATATAGATACATATGTGTATATAATTACATTTGTAATATTCATGTGTATGTGTGTGTATATATACATATATTTAGATATGTATGTGTGTGTGTATATGTACATATGTAAAATATAATTTTATATTTCCATTCCTGGCCAGCCACAGTCACACAGTGGTAATACAGTGTTCTATGATGCTGAAGTCACTTGGAAAGGTCCTAGGTTCACAATTGGAGGCCTTTCTCTACAATCTGGATATACATACACATATCCATAATCATGGGTAGCTGAGGTTGTGGGTAGATTATGGCATGAAGTCCCATTGGAGGTTCTGCCCTGTCTCTCCCTGTCTCGCTGTCTCTCTTTTGAAAGAAGTGAATATATAAACTTTTCAAAATTTTATTCCTTGGCCCAGCAGGTGGGGTGAAGGTTAAGGTGCTAGATCCCACATGGCCAACTGTGTGATTTAAGTCCTGGAACCGGTGTCTTGAAAATTATGCCAGGCGCTTGTGTATATGCCCAAAATCCCAAAAGGAGAATGGAGGAGAGGGATTGCAGGATGGCTATTCCCCCTGAGGAGTGTTTTCTCACCTTTCTGCTCTCTTTCTATCTCACTCTCCCTCTCTCTCTTTTGATCTCTCTCTAGTGAGCACAAGTGCCCTCTAGCAAAATCTGAAAAAACAATTCCATTCCTTAATGCATTAATAAATAAAAACAAATCGCAAGGGAAGAATCATTAAAACATGATAAGTCGTAAAAGAAAATGCAAAATACAGACCCCACTTTTTAATTACTATTAGGTTTAACAGACATCAAAATTACCCATCAAATTGCCATAGAAGTTTAATGGTTACTCTTAATATCTGTTAGGTATTGGGGATAACAGAGATAACAACAGCCGTGCATCTTTCTCAGATCACACTCTGAGTAGCACTGCAGTAAGGTCGATGGCAGTGATAAACTTAGTACCCTGGCCTATTCTCCACTCGTTAGATCTGTTATTAGTAAACTTTTGTGATGAGGTACAGATAGTAAATATTTTTGCCTTTGCAGGTAGTATGACCTGTCACGACTCTGGCAGGAAGCATCCATAGACACTATGTCAACAAACGAGCATTTATAACTTTATTTATAAAGTGGGTAGTGGATCAGATTTGACCTGTTGTCTGTAGTTTGTTGCTCTTCGCTTTAGATAGTATGAGCTACATTTCCACTTGTCTTTATATTTAATTGTATTTTCCACAAAGTTTTTTTAATAGGATACTTAAAACTGTTATTGTGCATTTTAAACACTTGAATTTATTTTTTTCTCCTTCTGAAAATTCTATGAATAAAAGAGTTGTAATATTTTAAGGATTAAAATATTTTGGTGGTTGTCTGGCTCTATAGCCTAGGGGTTAAGCAAGCCAGATCCCACACAGCTGACCAGGGTTGGAGGCCTGGCCCTGGTGTCTGAAAAACAACACATCAGGTGCATGTGTCTGTGTGTCCCATAGCACAACAAAATGGAGAAATGGAAGAAAAGGGATTGGAGTATGACCACACCCTATTGTGGGATATTTTCACCCTGTCCTTCCTCTCTGGAGAGCATACATGGCCTCTAGCAATAAAAAAATTACATATTTTGGTGGAAAAACACACCATGATTAAATAGCAGAGAAAGAACCACAAACCAGAAGCTGTCTAGATTAATTCTTTCTTTCCTAAGGCAGCTGGAAATTTTCAGTATTAGCTGGGGAGGGTCAGGGGGAGGTCTCTGATTGTGCCTTACAGACTCAGCTCAAATGTCACAACCTCTTTCATTTTTCTGACATCACTTTTCAGAATGTTTCTAAGAGGAACATTCTATGTGGGCGGGATTGTGGCTTTGTGAGGCCCTCCTGCTTTCTTCAGAATGTCAGCCTTTACCTCCTTCAGGAGCCCCACCACTTATTAAATCAGAGCTGTCTGCTCAGATGTCCCTTTATCATTGAAAACGGTGAGTGCTTCAGGGCAGATTGAAGTCTCAGGAAGGGCTCTCTCTTGTTCCCAATGCCTAACTGAACTGGAAATACATGAAGGGAGGTGTTTTATGTGTGTATACCTCTATGTCTCCATCTGTAAGATGTGAAAAGACCTGAACTGAATCATCCTGAGATGGTTATAAAACACAACCGAGATGATAGGCACAGGAATTTTTGTAACCTATGAGTACTTGTGCAGATGAGATTTTAGTAATTGTGGGAAAAAGATGGGTCTAGATGAAATGGAAAATAAAAACAAAAACAAAACCTAAAATTAAAAAGGGGCCAGCAGGTGGCATGGTGACTAAAGTGCTGGATCTCACATAGCAAACTGCACAGTTCATTTAAATCCTGGACTCAGTAGCTTGAGAAACATGCTGGGCACGTGTGCTTATGTCTCCAAAGTCCCAAAAGGAGAATGGAGGAGAAGGGATTGTGGCATGGCCATCCTCCCTGGGGAGTGATTTCTCACTGTCTGTTTTTCTCTTACTTCCTGGGGAGTGATTTCTCCCTGTCTCTTTCTGGTGAGCACACATGCCCTATGAACAAAATATAAAAAAAATAAATAAATAAAAATAAAGTTGGGGACCAGCAGTTAGCATAATGGCTATGTCGCTGGACTCCCATGTAGTCGACTGCGGTTCAAGTCCTGGACCTGGCGGCTTAAACTCACGCCGGGCACGTGTGCGTGTGTGCCCAAGATACTAAGAGGAGAATGGAGGACAAGGGATTGAGGCGTGGTCATCCTCCCTGGGGATGATTTCTCGCTTTCTATCTCTCTGCCTTTCTGGCAAGCGCACGCACCCTATAGTGAAAACCTCTCCCCAAAATAATAATAATAATTAAAAAATAATAAAGTTGTACACTAGACAAATAGTGCTAATTAGATAAAAATATAGGATAAATCCATTGCGTGTTTTATGACCTTAGGTAAGTCACTTAACCTATCTGAATTAGAATTATTCCAATTAAATGAAATAGTAGCAATGATATATATTCAGTACCAGTTAGCTAATTGTATTAATGAAATATCATGATTAACGAAATAAATTATCTTTATTAGTAATAATGATGGTTAAATTGGTATTAATGAGTATGAATTAGTAGCAGTAAAATAAGATGTACAAATTTTAGATAAAATGAGAGGAGGTAGAAAGCTGAGTAGAATAATACCACAAGTAAGAACAGATGATTTGGGTGAACCTGGCATATATTGGAAACACCAAGAATGAGTTCCAAGGTACCCATTATGCTTATGGGTTGATGTCTTAGTTATTCCTACTCTGAATCACAGAAGTCTCTACTTCTGCTGGCAGGATACTGTGTGTTTATTTTCTAGCCTCTTTTCCTCGGGCAGGTTTCCATTATTAGCAAGATTAACAAGCTTCTCATCCATGAACTTATAACGCCTTGTTGTAGGGAAGCAGGGGCGTTCACAGCAGCCCTCGCATCCCTCTGACCCAGGCAAGACACAGAGGAGAAAAGGAAGCTGGGTTCCCCAGAACCTAGCAGAATCAGTGCCTGGCTCTGAGGAGAGCTCCGTGAGAGCAAAAGTTTTTGTTTATTGTCTCTCTACACGAGGTCTAGAATAGAACCCAGCTCTTAATAAATACATTTTACAAGATTAATCAGTGACTAAATCATGATGCTCTCTGTAAGGACTGTGTGATCATTGGGTTGAATGGAGATGCACATGTACCATTTGTTAGTTCAGCTTTGAAAGCTCCCATCCCTCTGATTTTGTATTACTTTCCAAAAAAAATTTTGTATGCCTTTTCCTTCTCTAATATCTCTTATGACTTCTTATTCCAGTTCCTCAACTCTAAGACATATTTTAATATTCAAGATCAGTCCCAACTTTATCTTCGAGTTATATACTTCGTTCCTCCCTTAGACGTTTAGCTTAATAGTATTTTTAACAACTTCCCCAAATCCACCCAGTTTCCCTATTTCTTTTTCATTTCTGCTTAGGTGATTCCCTGTACCTGCCAAGATCTCGGATACTTTCATAGTAAAACTTATCCTCTATGTCTCAAGCCTCTGCTCAGAACTGTCCTCCATGAGTCTTCCCTGGATTTTATAAATGAATGATTTTCTCATAGTTTCATCTATAGTTTGTCTCCATTTTAAAAATGTGTCACTTTTCTCTGTTACTCTTAACCGTGGGTATACTTCTTTGCCCCACATCTGATGGCAAGCACCGAAAGGCTAGCAGCCCCAAGTCGTCTTTTGTGCCTATCATGAATTGAGAAGATTGTCAAATTTGAAATTAGAGGTATTGGATTTCATATAAAGAAATCACTCTCATCATCCTTTCCTATTTACCTCCACAACCCATGTGCTATGCAGGCAAATGAGCTTACTTCCCACTCTACATATCCTATTGTCACTTACACGTGTGATGGCTCCACGGTATCTCCCTTTGAATCCACAGGGGACTCTGGCCCATTAGTCTTTAAGAAGACTGGAAGATGTGGGAAAGGTTTCTGCACTTCTTTGTATTTGCAAAAAGCAGTGATAACTACGCCTTCACCTCTGTTTCTGCCTCACGGTAGTATGACTGCATTCCAAATGCAAAAGGTTTAGCTTTTCCTTCTTATGACTTCTTGAGACTTTGCTTTCCAGGACACGCCTGACTCAAGTCCTATAATGAATCTCCATTGTTGGGGGTCAATGGGTGAGTAGGAACTAGGTGTGGTATTGCTGCCACAGATAGCACTGACGAGCACGGCCATCACCTTTGTCGTAGAATGAAGCTGGTTGGAGCTTTTAGGACTGTCGTTTCTTTTCCCTGGGCTGAAAAGATACCTGATGGCTAGTATTTGTGTACAAGTTGGTGGCCTGGCACATTCTATCTCGTAGTTTAGCTCATGGGCACTTAGTCTAGGCCAGCCCACCTCTCACAGAGTATCTCTGCCTTAGCTTTCTGGAATTCTATTTAGGAACAGAGTGGGAAAATTAGATGCTGGGGAAATGAATTATAGGAAGTAGCTTGAAAATTCTCAGACTCATCAAACAATAGCCCTTTTGGTAACTCTTGACATTTCTTGATGACACACTGCCTCAAAGGCAATAAGTGAGATATATCCATAAAAATCTCTGTACATTTTACATGTTAGAACAAACTAGTCTGGGAACTAAAAAAAAAAAAAAAATTACTTGCTTACACATTTATTTGTTGCTAATTTTATTCATTTATACCTTCTATACCAGGTGTATGGCTGAGAAGGGTTACTTATACATATGTATAAATCAGTGATTCTGTTGCCAACCCCTGGGAACTTTTACTTTTAGAAACCGAGGTTTACAGTGTCGAGGGAGGGGGTATTTCAGACAGTCTGAGAAGTTGAAAGCTGAGGAGGAGTACCTGCTAATAATTCTGTCCTTCTGGGAAGTGTGAAGTCTAGAAGAAAAAGAAAGATCAAGGGTGGGCTGAATCTGAGAAAAGAACAGATGGGCCGTGGTTACGCCTGCCAGAGACATGGGCAGAAAGAAATAAAAAACTGTTCTTGCTCTCTTTCCCCTCTAAACAGAGAACGTGTACACCAGAGCTCAGTGTGGGCTGGGGCAGATGGGCTGCGGAGAGAAGAAAGGTTGGCCGTGTCTTACCCAAAAGAAGAAGAGCAAAGCCCGTGAACCCAATTTCCTCTGAAACAAGAGCTTGGCCTCTGCTCTGCATCTTGGCGTGCAGAAAGGGAAATGCGTCAGGGAAGAGGGCTAGTAAGAGTCTGCAAGCATTGCTCACAGCGTGTCCCAGCCTCTAGGAATGATTTCTGAGGCAGAAAGATGTATTTGTTTCAGTACCCTGTTCTTATAGGTAATTCTTTTTAGTTTTTCATTCATGAGGGTGCTGTGATATAATCCAGCCCTGTGTCTAAAGTTTGGTCTCAGGGCCAGAAACATCGGCATCACCTGTGAACTTGCTGGAAATGTGAGTTCTTGCATACCACCAGATCCACTAAATCAGAAATATGGGAGTGGAGTCCAGTAGTCTGTGTCTTAACAAGCTCTCCAGGTGATTCTGATGTAGGCTGAAGGATGAAAACCACTATAACAGAGTTTAGAGAAGGCGGAATCTCGGTAAAAATCTTGAGTGGGGCCAGCCTGTGATGTGGTGGTTAAAGTGACTAGATCCTACATAGTTACCTGCATGGTTTGAGTCCCAGACCTGATGAACTGAGAATCGTACCAGGCACCTGTATGTGCATACCCAAAATCCTGAAAGGAGGGAGAAACAGAGGAGAGGTTGTGGCATGATCATTCTCCATGGGGAGAATGCTTTTCATTCTCCCCCTTTCGCTGTCTCTCTCCAGTGAGCACATTGACACTCTGGCTAATAAGAAGTTTAGAAAGTAGGTCATCCTTTTATGATTCTATGATTTTGGACAGATTACACTCAACAAAGACTATTGTTCCTCACTATTGAGGGGATTAAGTGAAATAATGATGTGCAAATGATAAACAATTGAAAGTACAAACACACCTTAAGCAGACATCTGTTTATGAGAGACAAAAAGGAGAGGAGACAGCAGGTTGTCCTAGTGTTTACAGTGCTGGACTCCCACATGGCTGACCACAGTTCAAGTCCCAGACCTGGCAGCTTGCTTTCTCATTTTGCCCTTTTCTCTCTCTCTCTCTCTCTTTCTCTCTGTCTCTAAGATCCAACAACAACAAAAATAAGTAATAATAACAAAATTAAACAAAAAATATTTTTAAAAAAGGAGATAGGGAGGGAGGCAGAGAGAGAAAAGAATCCAGAAGAGTCGCAAAATTCTCCTCAGGAGAGAAAAGCAGTATTCCCTGTATTCCTCCATATTTCCCAGCCTTCCTTGCAATCAGGTTGAAGCCCGGTGACTAGTTCTGGCAGATGGAGTGTGAGTGCAAGTGATACATGTCTCTACCAGCCAGAGGCAGTTAGAACCAGGACAATTCCTCCATTGTTTTGTTCTCCTGCCATGGAGCATACTTCCTGTCCTACCGGACTATTGTGAGCCAGAAATAAATCTTTGTTATGTTCAGCTACTGAGATTTCAGGAATGATGTGTTGTGGCAGCTAGCATAAATTATCTGGGTCAGCCATGTAGAGGGAAAAGTAATGAGAAAGAGTGCGATAGACAATGAGATGTTACATAGAAGAAGATGGCTAGGAGAAAAAGTGACATTGTCTCCTGATGATAGGGAGCAGACACTGAGCCAAGGCTTTATCTCCATAAGTCCTAGACTTCATCCCAAAAGAAAGATAATTTTCTGGTCAATTATTGTCTAATCAGTGCTTGTGAATATGACCAATTCAGACAGGTATTCTCATTCTTTGCTTATATAGTGAAAAGAAGGTTGGCTTGCTTGGGTGTGCTTCCCATCAAAATCTATAGGTTTTTTTTTTTTTTTTGAAGAGGTTTTCACTATAGGGTGCGTGCGCTTGCCAGAGAGAGAGAGAGAGACATAGAGACAGAAAGCGAGAAATCACCCCCCAGGGGGGATGGTCACGCAGCAATCCCTTCTCCTCCATTCTCCTCTCAGGATCTTGGGCACACACGCACACGCACCCAGCGTGAGTTTTAAGCCACCGGGTCCAGGACGTGAACCGCGGTGGACTATGTGGGAGTCCAGCGACATAGCCATTACACTAACTGCTGGTTCCCGAAAATCTATAGATTTTTTGAAAATCTACTCTATGTCAGGACTCTTAATGGGTTTTCTAACTTCCATTGTGTTCCATTACCCATTCTCACTAATACACTGCTTTCCTTTAGCACCAAAAACAAAAGTAAGGAGTCCTGGTTAGATCTGGTCCCTCTTTTTTCCTTTCATAGTCTGTCTCTTCACATTTCTCTGAATGCCTTCCTATTCTAAATTTCAATCACCCAGGACCAGTGGTATTTTACTGAGTGCCCTCCACCCTTTCTAACGGTAGTAGATATATCTGCCTGTAAGTCTGGCTTCCACCATGGGCTATTGCTTAACTCTTAGGAGGACAGAACTGAGTTCTTGCATACCACCAGATCCACTAAATCAGAAATATGGGAGTGGAGTCCAGTAGTCTGTGTCTTAACAAGCTCTCCAGGTGATTCTGATGTAGGCTGAAGGATGAAAACCACTATAACAGAGTTTAGAGAAGGCGGAATCTCGGTAAAAATCTTGAGTGGGGCCAGCCTGTGATGTGGTGGTTAAAGTGACTAGATCCTACATAGTTACCTGCATGGTTTGAGTCCCAGACCTGATGAACTGAGAATCGTACCAGGCACCTGTATGTGCATACCCAAAATCCTGAAAGGAGGGAGAAACAGAGGAGAGGTTGTGGCATGATCATTCTCCATGGGGAGAATGCTTTTCATTCTCCCCCTTTCGCTGTCTCTCTCCAGTGAGCACATTGACACTCTGGCTAATAAGAAGTTTAGAAAGTAGGTCATCCTTTTATGATTCTATGATTTTGGACAGATTACACTCAACAAAGACTATTGTTCCTCACTATTGAGGGGATTAAGTGAAATAATGATGTGCAAATGATAAACAATTGAAAGTACAAACACACCTTAAGCAGACATCTGTTTATGAGAGACAAAAAGGAGAGGAGACAGCAGGTTGTCCTAGTGTTTACAGTGCTGGACTCCCACATGGCTGACCACAGTTCAAGTCCCAGACCTGGCAGCTTGCTTTCTCATTTTGCCCTTTTCTCTCTCTCTCTCTCTCTTTCTCTCTGTCTCTTTGATCCAACAACAACAAAAATAAGTAATAATAACAAAATTAAACAAAAAATATTTTTAAAAAAGGAGATAGGGAGGGAGGCAGAGAGAGAAAAGAATCCAGAAGAGTCGCAAAATTCTCCTCAGGAGAGAAAAGCAGTATTCCCTGTATTCCTCCATATTTCCCAGCCTTCCTTGCAATCAGGTTGAAGCCCGGTGACTAGTTCTGGCAGATGGAGTGTGAGTGCAAGTGATACATGTCTCTACCAGCCAGAGGCAGTTAGAACCAGGACAATTCCTCCATTGTTTTGTTCTCCTGCCATGGAGCATACTTCCTGTCCTACCGGACTATTGTGAGCCAGAAATAAATCTTTGTTATGTTCAGCTACTGAGATTTCAGGAATGATGTGTTGTGGCAGCTAGCATAAATTATCTGGGTCAGCCATGTAGAGGGAAAAGTAATGAGAAAGAGTGCGATAGACAATGAGATGTTACATAGAAGAAGATGGCTAGGAGAAAAAGTGACATTGTCTCCTGATGATAGGGAGCAGACACTGAGCCAAGGCTTTATCTCCATAAGTCCTAGACTTCATCCCAAAAGAAAGATAATTTTCTGGTCAATTATTGTCTAATCAGTGCTTGTGAATATGACCAATTCAGACAGGTATTCTCATTCTTTGCTTATATAGTGAAAAGAAGGTTGGCTTGCTTGGGTGTGCTTCCCATCAAAATCTATAGGTTTTTTTTTTTTTTTTTGAGGAGGTT